TTTATCCTTTGGAAGTAAGAAACTCTTCAAAGACACAGTCTTCAACAAAAACTGTCTTTCTATGGCCAAAGTTTCATCAGTACCAGTCCTTACCAAAGGAACGATCCCCAATTGGTTTTATGAATTCCTTGTGTAGTTTAAAAGCTGATTTCAGCAAAAAATTTTTTTTCAGCCAAAAAGAGGTATAAAGCTGAAGGATTTTATTCATCTGATGACAGAATAAGGCCAAGAAGTAGATTTTATTTTCCCATCCCCATGCCTGGCCTAGATTTAGCTGATGTCATCAATTGATGTCTCCCTGTTGTGATTATTTCTGATTGGGGGGACAGGTTTTAACATTTTAAGATTTTAACTTTTATTTGGATACCACTTCATACCTATAATAGCTTAGCACTGAAACTCTCCTTTGAAAACCAGCCATAAGGCACAATGAAATTTTGCAGCTCATGGATGGAATTGGAGAGCATCATGCTGAGAAAAGTGAGTCAGAATGAGAGGGATAAATAGTGAATGATCTCACTCATATGTGGAACATAAAGAAATGTAGTCGGGGAATTCACTGGCCAATAAAAACAGGCCTTGAGTGTTTGTCTGTAAGAGGAGGAGGGGTGATTAGAAAGGATTAATAAAGTGGTGGAGAGTTTGGTGGTGGGTGAGATAAGTGATGCTGTATGTCTAAATCATTCATATTGATATTATTGTAAATCATGGTGCCTTAATTAAAAAAATAGCACTGTAGCACTGTAGCACTGTCCTCCTGTTGTTCATAGATTTGCTCTGGTGAGCCCAGTAACATCTCCATTGTGAGACTTGTTGTTACTGTGTTTGACATATCAAATATGTCATGGGTAGCTTGCCAGGCTTTGCCCTGCGGGCGAGATACTCTCAGTAACTTGCTGGGCTCTCTGAGAGGGGCGAAGGAATCGAACCCGGGTTGGCTGGGTTGGCCACGTGCAAGGCAAATGCCCTGCCTGCTCGCTTCAGCAGCACATATACTAAAAATAAAATAAAATAAAGATAAAAATAAAATTTGTAAAACCCCCCACAAAAATCAACCATGACACTAAAGGGTAAATAGATGTGGTAGAAACCCATTGTAAGAGTGATAAGAGGTTAAGGCATTTGCCTCGCATGTTACCAACCTTGCTTTGATCCCTGGCGCCAGATGGGCCCCCAAGCACTGCTAGAAATGAGCCCAAGCACAGTAACCCCTGAACATTGCATGGCACAAGTCTCCCACCCAAAGAAGAAATAAAATATACAATAAGAGGATACTAAGAATAATTTTGTCAACAAATTCTTTGGATATGGACACAGTGGTGAAACAACTTCTGAACTGGAATTTTAGTGAGCTGAAACCCCTAGCTGCCAAATCCAATGGACATTTTGGTGGTCTTGCCTGGCCCCTCTGTGGCATTTGATTCTGCTGAATGGCTCCACCTGAATATATTCGTCTCCTTGGATTCCCATGAAACACTCTTAAGGTTTCTTCTTTTGAACGTCATGTTTCTCTTTAGAACGTGACAGTCAAAGGTCTCCTGTCCTTTGTGGAAAGAACCCCTCTTGCTCCTTCCTTTCTGTCTTATTGCAGCTGCTCCAGCACTGACTCTTTGGGACCCTTCCCCCATCTTCTGACATTCAACTACTGTTCAAATGGAGGCAATAGGCTCCAAAGGGAATCTCTGTGCTAAGTAAACCCCAACTCACTAAACTGGAGTTAGCATCTAAATGACAGCTTCAACCCTCCCAGGAAGGTAAAGCTTAACTCAGGCATTTGAATTTCCTGGTTAGTGCTAACTGATACTAGTTGGTACTGGTAACTAGTGCTTAGTACCTGTCACTCCTTATAAGAATGTGATCTAGCCAGGCCAATCCTCTCTCCTTGGCTAGGTCCCCTCTGCCCAGGAAAACCCTTCATTCTGTACAATTTTTTGGCATTCCTTTCTATCTCTGGATGAGAGATGGCCTGATTTCTGAACTGCAATGAGTAAGGTCAAAATACCTTTAAAATTTACTGAGCTGAATTTAATTTACTTATTCAGGGTCACCCATGGTGGTACTCAGGAGACTTACTTCTGACTCCATGCTCAGGGTACATGGTACCAGGGATTAAACCAGAGTCAGCTACGTGCAAAGCAAGTGCCTCACCCTCCTGCACCATCTGACTCTGAATTTTATTTTTCAGTATTATTTGTAGATTGATGTTTCCCTAATCAAAAGCCCAAATTGTCCTACTGAGCATCAAACTGGCTATCCAACCTCCTTAAAGACAGGCCATTTACCTGTCCCCACCTTGGATATCCTCTGGGACTCAACTTTTCCTCTTTGCTAATAATATCCAGTTTTCATCTGAGTGCTAGTCACCATTCCAAGCCAATTCCCAATGGCCAGGAAGAGTGTTCCCTCCCCAATTCAGTTTGACTTCTTCGACACTATTGATTGAGAAGTCCAGCCCTCAAGCATACCCCATTAGAGAGTGTTTGGGCCACAATATGGGGCCTAAATTCTCCGACATCTCTCCACCGAGAGGCAGGATGTTTCACTAGGATATATGTGAAAGGAATTTGTGACCTAACTTGGAAAGTTATGGTAGAGATTGCCTATAGCTTCCACTGGTCCTGCAATGCTCATTGTCTGGATGTTCCCTCCTGGCCCTTTAAGAGTCTGGCATTGTGAAAGCCCCTGAGTTACGAGTTACGTGGGAGGCCACGTGTAGGTGCTCCAGCGAACAGTCCCAACTGAGCTAGTCTCATATCCCCAGTTCAGGTACCAGAGTTCAGAATAATTTTGAATGTGAATTGGCCATCATTTGATGCAGTGGAGTCTCCTATCATAAGGGAGGAGAGAACTGTCTCAGGTGTGTTCCACCCATTTCCCTGACCCACAAAATTTATGAGCATCACAAGATAATGTATCGACCCACTGAATTTGGAATAGTTTATTCCATGGCAATAATAACTGGAAGTCATACCAGAGTCCTGCTAATATTCTTCCATGGATTTTGCAGCATCATCAGGGTCAAGTCTTAAAGTCTTTGACGCTGTGACAAGGGTTCTGCTGACTCCACCAGATCCATTTCCTGTCTCTGTCCACACAACTCCTCTCCCAGCCACATTGCAGTTTCTGAAATTAACACCCCCACACACATTTCTCTAGACTTTTGTGCCTTTGGGCATGCAGTTGCTCAGCTTAGAAGTCTTTCTGACATCCAGACAATAAGCATATCATCTGGAAAGTGGGTGATGCAAATCCATTTTCTTTTCTGAGATCTTTTTTCCCCCCAAGAATAATTATGGCTAAGTGGTACTGAAGTGGTGCAGGTACTCCATGAAAGACTAAAGAATGTGGGTTATTTTCTAGGTCTCTGAAGAAAAATAGCAGTTAATGGATGGATTCTGAAGGCACATTGCTTACATTCAAATGTGAACTCCTTCTCTTTTGGTGACTGGTGACCAGGTGCAAGGGATTTACTCTCTGTGTGCTCCCATTTGCAACCTTGAAAACCCGGGTAATATTATTTGCTTCCTAGAGTGAGGGTCAGAGTGAAATGAGTGTAGATGTGTAGAATGATTACTGCCTGGCCAAGCATACTTGGATAAAAGAAATCTGCGCTTTGTTAGCTCCAGTTGTTGGTTATATTTCTTTCAGTACCGCTTCCTGGGACACCTCTCTGAGTTCACAGAGACCCATGTTTTCTCAGCGCCGGCTTTGTCACCGTCTGGAATGCTCTCACTGTTCAGTTAGTATCCCTTAATTCATCTTTAGAGCAGCCAAGGCAGGGGATGGATTTCTCTCTTCTCTCCCCAGAATCTGAGTCATATCAGGACTTCAATAAATATGTATTAAGTTGAATCTTGCTTTGATTTTACAATCACAGCAACTCAAGCCCAGAACAGTCAAGTGAGTTCTAAGTTAAACAGATAATTAGTGGCTTCCTAGAGACAAAAAAATGTTCCTTCCTGTTCTCTTCCAACTGTCAAACTTAAGCTAATTTGTGTGTGTATAAACGTAATTTTCTCCATGATCGCCGTCCCCACTGCATCCTGTCCCCACAACTTGCCCTTCACCTTTAAGGTTATTTTTTTTTCATAGTCCTTAAAAGAAATTGTGGTCTTTTAGCATCTTTCCTCTGAATGTGTGTGTGTGTGTGTGTGTGTGTGTGTGTGTGTGTGTGTTGGGTGGGGGGCAGTGACTATTTTAGGGTCATTCAATCACTACTGTTCCTGAGAAAGAGAATTACTGGGAAAGGATATGCACCCATTCAATTATTTCATAAGATTTGCTCTCAGGGTAATTCTAATACTTTGAACCTTCCTTTAACTTAAAAGACGTTTCCCTGCCTTCACTCATTCACTTTTTCTAGGAGTGGAGTGGAAGGTGGCATTGTTCAGAAAACTAAATTTAATTCGGGTGGGGAAACGGAGGTGAGGGTCCTGCCTTTTGCTTGCAGCGTGACCGACAGCAGACGGCGCTGTGTCCTCGCTGGCTTTTGAACCAGTCCGTCGAGATCACAAAAGGTGCGGGTTTTCCCCAGGGCAGTGGAGGGAATCCTTTTCGAAAACCCCGCTCCTGAATGCAGGTTCCTGTCGGCCCTGGGCTAGTGTGTTGTTTGGGGTGGTATGGGAATCGGGGTGTGGGTGGGGTGGGGAGACAGGTTTCCCATTTTAAACAGGAGACCTGCTTGAGGAGTTTCCAGCTCTAGTAGCGACCCCAGCATCGCTGTATCTCTGCAACCCCTTGGTTTAAGCCAAAAGGGACCAGAGACCAGTCGCGCAGCGGGCGCCGCGCGTTCTTTGCCCCAGTCTCCTTGGACTTGAAACGCGTCTTCCAGATCAAAAAGCTCAACCCTCGAGGCGTGCCCGGAGGCCACTCCGGCCCCCTTTGCGGGGTCCCTGGCGGCGGTTCTGGCCCGGTCCACCCTCCTGCCGAGGGCGTGCCCATCCCTCGTCTCCCCGCGCCCCTTCTTCTCTGCTCTCCCCTTCTCAGGGATCGGCGCGGGCAGGTTTTCCGGGAGGGGCGCGGGGAGGCGCGGGGAGGCGCGTCGAGCGCTGTCGCCGTGTCACGCCGCCTCCCTCTCCGCCGGAGCGCGCGGCAGAGGCGGGGCGCGTGGGGACGCGGGAGTGCGGGGTCCTGGGCGAGCCCCGCGTTGCGCGGAACCCGGCGCCGAGCCCTCTTCCCCGAGGCCGGAGCCGCGCCCCGCCATGGAGCCTTCGCACAAAGACGCCGAGACGGCAGCGGCAGCCGCGGCGGCAGACCCCCGGGGGGCGTCGTCGTCCAGCGGGGTGGTGGTGCAGGTCCGCGAGAAGAAGGGACCCCTGCGCGCCGCCATCCCCTACATGCCTTTCCCGGTGGCCGTCATCTGCCTCTTCCTCAACACTTTCGTGCCGGGACTGGGTAAGACGGGGTGTGTGGGTTGGGGTGGTCCCCGGCGCCCCGGCCCCCCGGCGGGAGGGCAGCAGGGGACGGACGGATGCCCGGGGCTGCTACAGCGCACGCAGCGCCCCTGGCAGGTGGCAGGAGCGCTTGGAGTGGGCGCTGGAGCAGGGGTGCCGCGCGGGGTTCGCGGACCGCCCTTGACTTTTTTCTCCGACCGGTGGGAGAAAAGGTCAGGCCCCGGAGAGCCAGCAATTTGCCTTAACATGGGAGTTTGACTATCCCCCGCCCTGTGAGTCTCCCCGGAAAGCGCCCCGAATCCCGGTCCCTTCTCTCCGCCGTGCGCCCCTTTCTCCGAGGGCCGCGGAGCCCAGGCTTCGGGAGCGTTGGGGCGGCAGGTGCCGGCTGCCAAGTCCCCGCCCGGGCGCCCAGCAACTCGCAACTCGGAGGAACTGGAGGAAGGGGGCAAGTGGCTCAGAGAAGAGACTCCGAAGCTCCTCAGACCTAATGCCCTGCAGCACGTTGCTTATTGCTCCCGAGTTCCCTGCACCTGCGGGGCGCCGAGAAAGTGTGTCTGTGTGTGCGGTGATGTGATGAGGGTGGGTGCGGGTGGGTTCTGGGCGCACATGCTTTAGGAAGCGCTCCCCACCAGCCCATCCCACCGTGCAGCGAAAGTGGCGAGCGCGCTGGGAGTCATTCTGTAAAGTTCCCTAGGTACCTGATAGCACCAGTGCCCCGACTTTGAAAAAACAGGCGCCTCACTGTCGGGGCGCTGAAGGCTGCTTAGAGGCAGAGGATGAGAAGTTTTTCCCACCCTCCCTCTCCTAAGCACCCCACAATTCTCAGCATTTCCTCCCCTGACTCCTAGTGCGCCTGCTGAGCACTGGTTGCTGTTGCGTGCTTAGCGCGCCCCGCCTCCCCCCTCTGACTCCCCATTCCCTGCGGGGCTACACAGAAACGTCACCTGTGGACCCTCTGCGGAGAGAGCCAGCCCCCTGACATGTGCGGCTGCCAAGTACCAGGCGGGGAAGCGGGTTTCTGTGTCACTTCTCGGCCTTTCTCACCGCCGCGCTCTGACGCCCGGGGTCACACCCGCCGGGCAGCGGTGACCAGAGACGCTTCTATGCCGGCTTGACAAGGGAGGGAAGTCAGGCCAGGGGCTTTTCCTTCAGGATGCCTCCAGAGCCCGCGCCCTGCTCCCCGCAGCAACCACCTCCCCACCCCCCCACCCGTTGGTGTCAAGTGCTGGGCACCCAGCACTTTGGAGGAAGCAAATGCTCATTTGGATGTGTCAAATTCCCACCTGCTGAAGTCTAAACAGACTCCATCTCACTGGGGCTGTGACGATCAGGAGCAGGGATGACCTTTGATTCCAGTTGCTTTAAAAAGCTTGAAGGAAATGTAACTAGACATGCTTTTTGGGGAGGGATAAGGGGAAGTTGCCAGGCACAATGGGGTGTGTGTGTGGAGGGGCTCTGTGAGGGGTAACAGACCAAAATGCAGAGCATATGTCTAAAGCCCCATGACTTTTGAGGCAATTCATTAGCTGCAGATGAGAGACCTACTTCTGTGGACAAAGCCCTGCCTGCCCCGGCCCCCACTTTTGCCCTCTGAGGGCCTGTTGTGTTCCCTCTTGGGTCTCACCTCACTAGGTACCTTTCCCACTCCACCCCCTGCCTGGGATCACATTTCCTTTGTTACAAGAAATTCCTGTGAGACTTTGTCCAGCCTGCCCTTCCTTCCTTCCTTCCTTCCTTCCTTCCTTCCTTCCTTCCTTCCTTCCTTCCTTCCTTCCTTCCTTCCTTCCTTCACTTCCTCCTGACTTTGCTCTCAGAAATCTCTCTGAGGATCATAGAGGGTTCTGGGGATTGAACCCAGGTCAGCCAAGTGAAAGGGAATCACCCCACCCGCTGAACTATTTCTTCAGTCCTTGGTCAGAGAGCTTCTAAGAAGCCAGATGAAAATAAGCAAACTAGGACATTAACAACAGGAAGGAAACCCTGGGTGTAGAGATTTTGTCTTTTCCCTGAGCAAATTCAGGCATTGTTTCCTTTTACTTGGTTGCCTTCATACAGTTTATTAGGTGCACAGGCCCCTGGACCTCTGTGCATGGAAGCAGGGTAGGGGTGGGGTGGGATGTATCTGATCCTAGGCAGTTTCTCATCTGCAAGGAAAGGATGCTCTTGTCTCCTTGTCTTCAGGCTGCTGGGAAGGTGGAAGGAGATTCACTAACTCTCAGGGTCTGACCAGTAGGAAATCAGGTGATGGGTCCTCTTGCTCATCATCCTCAAACAGAGAGAGAGAGCCCGGGTCCCGTGTGTGTGTGTGTGTGTGTGTGTGTGTGTGTGTGTGTGTGTGTGTGTGTGTGTATGCACGCATCCCCTTGGGGGCCTTTGCTCCCTTTCCTGTTCTAGAAGAGAAAGCAGCTCGGACCAAGCATGCAGGTTTTTCTGGTGCCCTGGGAGTGTTGTGAGTGACCCCAGCCCTGGGAAATTCTCCCCTCAATTCTCCCCCTGCATTTCTCCATGTCCTCCCAGCTCTTGTGAAGTGTCAGCAAAAAATGGAATACTGCTTGTTGATCCCCTGTGATGAAATATAGCCTCTCTCCCAATGCTTCATTCATCCATTCCCTGTGCCTGTTTCCACCACCTCTGGCATTTTGGGATGTGAGGGAGGGCGAATCAATGATTGAAGATGAACATAGGCTGCTAAAAAGGAAATGGACTTGGCTTTGTTTAAAGTCATAAGTGTTCCCAGTGATGGTGGCAGAAACAGGGTTTCGCAGACCACAGTCCTCAGGTGGGCGGGGGTGCAGCAAAGGCCCACCCTCACTTGCTGAGCAGTTCCTCTCTGGGGACTATTCAGACTGCTGGCCTAAATATCCCCCATCCCCTTTTTCTTTCTAGAAATTGCCTTTCCTGCAAATCTTTTTACTTTCAAATCCACTGGAGTGTAGATATTGGGCTGAATTAAGACTTGTCCTTGTTACAGGTGCCTCGGGTCCAGTCAGCCTTCGGGACCTGCCCCAGAGAAGCCCAGTCCTGGCCCCTCCTCTATTCTCCTTGGTCCAAGAAAACCAAGTGGTCCAGCAGGCAGACTACACTATTAGCATCAGAGGGATGTTTCCTGACCCGGGGAGTGGCTGGGAAGAAGTGACTTAGGCTGACTCAGATTCCTCATTGAACCACACAAAATAGATTTTAAAATGGTTCTAGAGTGACAACCCCAACCCACTGAGCAAAATTCTACTAACAAAAACCATTGCTGGTAACTTCACCTGCCAATAAGCAGAGAAAATATGAGAATGCACATAGTATACTGGCAGTGGAAGTTCACTGTTATGCCCCACCTGGGCAGAGAACTGGTCTGTTGATCAAAGGGAATAGTTATTCTCATATTTAAATGATATCCTTTTTGATTGATTTGTTAAAATGACAATGTTGAAAACTCAGTGATGGAAAGTGGGAGGGAGGAGAGCACCTCTGGACTGTTAGCTTTCCCTCAGACTAATGTAGGCCATACATTTACTGTGACGATTTGTAAATATTTAATCTCTCCCTAATATAATATACTGGGTGCTCTCTGGCACTCAGTTAAAGTCTTGGATTCCCTGAACCACAGGTCTGTTTAGAGTCTCTCTCTTTTCTTAACTCTGAGACTTGATGATTAATTATTGTTGAGCTTCTGTTACTGTTTTAAGAGTTCATTCTTGTTCTATCTAAATGTAAATGTCATGGGAAAAGCAAGCATTTAAAATGTCTCTCTGCTATCATCTGTTATTTATGAATGTATGTTGACTAAATTATATTCCTGGAACAGGCAACAGCCAGATATTTGGTTTCATTGTAAATCAGGCAGGTCTAAAGATGAAAGAGTCAAGGAAGTTTACATCATCCTATTCTTTTAGATTCTCTCTCTCCCTCTCTCCCTCTCTCTCTCTTTCTCTCTGCCACAACTGTCAGTGTTCAGGGTTCACTCCTGACTCTTGGCTCAGGGATCACTCCTGGTGGGCTCTGGGGATCATATAGGAGGTGCTGAGGATCAAATTTGGGTCAACCATGTGTAAGGCAAGTGCTCTACTCACTGTCTCTACTCAAAGTCTCTCCAGCCCCTACATTCTCCTTAAAGGAGGGCATTGGAAGATGTAGTTCAGCAAGACAAGAGGGTAAACCAAAAAACAAGATACAAAATGCAGGAAACAGTCTAAATCAGGACAGCTGGAAAAGCATCTCAGTATAACTCAGCACAAAGTCAGTGACCAAGTATGAGGTTAGCTAGTCCCTCAAAGAATGGGAAGCTGGACAGCTCCTGGAGATGGTGTGAGAAGGAGTTAGTCCACACAGTAAAGAAAAATGTTGAGTAACTGCAAGGAATTAGACCTGTGGTTAAAAAAATGAAAAGGAAATAAGCACAAACAGAAGGTGATTCATAACTGAATTAAAAACCTAAAGCTGTGAAGAAACTTTCAGATTTAAAAAACAAAACAACCATATCGATAGATCAGGAGGTATTTAAGAAGAAGAATCAAAGATTTCAAGCAATAAATGGCATGGGAAAGAATTTAGATAATATAATGTAGAGGGTACATGTTTTTAAATGTTTTCCTTCCTTCCTTCCTTCCTTCCTTCCTTCCTTCCTTCCTTCCTTCCTTCCTTCCTTCCTTCCCACCCTCCTTTCCCTCCCTTCCTCCCTCCCCCACCTCCCTCCCTCCCTCCCTCCCCCACCTCCCTCCCTCCCTCCCTCCCTCCCTCCCTCCCTCCCTCCCTCCCTCCCTCTCTTCCTCCCTCCCTCCCTCTCTTCCTCCCTCTCTCCCTCCCAATTCAGTGTCTCCTACATGTGATTTACCTCTTTGAACTCTCAGTCTTTTTTTTGGAGTAGGGTGATGGGGCCCACCAACGGTAGTGCTCAGGGCTTACTACTAACTCCATGCTCAGGGATAACTCCAGGCGGGACTCAGACAGACTATATATAGTGCCAGGGATTGAACCTGGGTTGGCTGCATACAAGGCAAGTGTCTTGCC